AGAGCATTACTGAAGATGTATCTGACTTTTCTTATCTTTGTTTAATTTGTTTATGTAGAACTTGATTTCTCTAAAAGATATTTTTTATGTTTCTGAAGTGCTGAGCTTGAGACTTATTGCTTATCTTGTTCTTCTGATGAGTAGTTCAGAAACTACTGATTTGATGTAGTGTAGAGACACTGGATTGAGCTTTAGGAACTTTAGGTATCTGCTTATCAGAAGGACAACTTTAGTTGTAGAAGCTTTCTGATTCTTGTATCTTCAACTTCCTGAGCTATATTTACGCAAGCTCTTAGAATCTTTCTGATGGACGATCATGTCTTTAGATATATAAGCAGCACCTTATCTTGAAAGACAACTTCAGTTGTAGAAGCTTTCTGATTCTTGTATCTTCAGCTTTTTGAGTTATATTTGTGCATGCCCTTTTATAGAATGTTTCTTATTATTAGATCCGCACACTCAATGAAACCATTAGTAGCACTAAAATTGTTACTCACAAAATATATGGTTGTTATCATCAAAACAAAGAATTTCTTAGAAGCTTTCTTGCTCTAACACGGACTACATGAGAGATACCATCAAGGTGAAATTTTCCGAATTTCAGATTTGCAAGAAGAAATTTACGCTCAGAAATAGGGTGACCAAACTATCACTCAATACTTCACTACCTTGAAGAAACTATGGCAGGAATTTGACAATTTTAGACCACTTACAAGTTGTCTCTGAAACCCTTCTTGTACCTGTCAACTCCTACCCACTATCAAGACTTACTGTGATGATGACTATGTCATTAGATTCCTCAAGGGTCTCAACGATCAATATGCACATGTACGTGTGCAAATTATGTTGATGTCACCCCTTCCCACTGTTAACAAGGTGTTTTCCTTACTCATACAACAAGAATGACAAATTTTAATACACATCCCTGAAGACAAAGTCATTTCTCAGATTTAGAAACTCTATCAAAAAGGGTGCACTCAAGACTATGGCAACAAATCGCCTTACCCTAATAAATCTAGAGGCATAAATATATGTAGTTACTGCAATAAACCTGGGCATACCATTGAGATGTGTTTCAAAAAACATGGTCTTCCACCCTATCTTAAGAAGGCTAATCTAGTTCATACTAATCCTACTGATAAAGACCATAAATACTTCCACTCTACACATGCTGAAGATGCCCCATAACACATTGGCTTCACTGCAGACCAACAACGTGCTTTGCTTGCTCTTCTCCAACAAACTACTGCATCTAGCACTTCTAACATCTAGCATCTTCAATCCAACAATCCCAACATCCCAGGTAACTCGTTCCTGTCTAATTTAAATACAATTGATAGCTTTAGTTGGCTCCTCGATACAGGAGCCACTGACCATGTTTGTCATAACAAACAAATGTTTACTAATCTTATTGCTATGAATCCTATTATTGTCAAACTTCCCAATGGGAATACCATAACCACGACTCACTTTGGCAATGTTTACTTCAATGATATCTTTTACCTTCATGATATTCTCTATATTCCATCCTTTTACACCAACCTTATTTCTATCTCCAAATTATGTAGCACTTTAAATTGCTCCCTTACTTTTACTGCCTCTCAATGTCTCATACAGGGGATGCCTACCCTGATGCAGATTATTGCAGCTAGGATTCATCATGGTCTCTATAATCTTGCTTCCCCTTCCCTCTCCCATTTAAATAAATCTAACTTTAAACAATTATAGTCTTTGGCACAATCGTTTAGGCCATCCTTCATTTGATACTATGATTCATATTAATAAAATGTTTCCTTTGAGTAATTTGCGAAAATATGAAAAACTTTGTGATACTTGTCTTAATGAAAAACATAAGCGCTTACCTTTTCCTGATAGTAAAACTTTGACTACTAATTGTTTTGATATCATACATATGGACATATGGGGTCCCATATCGTGTCCCTCTATAACTGGTCATAAGTATTTTCTTACTATAGTTAATGATTATAGTCGTTACTGTTGGATTTTTTTAATGAAAACTAAATCTGAAACAAGTAATCTCATCAAATATTTTGTTTCCTTTATACAAACTCAATTTAAAACTACCATTAAAATCTTAAGATCTGACAATGGTCTTGAATTCATGCTTAAGGATTTTTATAACACTCATGGTATTGAACACCAAACATCCTATGTTTACACACCTCAACAGAATGACCTTGTTGAACGTAAACACCAACATCCCTTAAATGTCACTAGAGCTCTTTTATTTCAGGATAATCTTCTTAAATTATTCTGGTCATAACAGGTTTACGGCTATCAAATGAAGAAATATTGAATTTAACATTGATTAAAATTGAAAAACTTCTTCAACAAAGTCGTAGGAGTTTAAGTGACTTCCCTAGAAAGCCAAAACCATATGATTATGTAGTTGAGGAGTTTTGAAACAATATTTTATACGAAGAGCGGAACTACAATCCCGCTGAACAACTTCAAGATTTCAATATGTTGTACCATAATCTCACAGGTCTCAACAATAACAACATCATACTGCATATAAACAATTCAATTTTATAAATTTTATTATACATGTTTTTGACCAAGCATATGACCATGTTTAACTAAAAATTAATACAATCAATATTATCTTAATGTGTTATTTCTATATTTTATGTTAATTGCATGACAGATGAACAAAGAGATGTTTTCAAACAAATCATGATGGCTGTCAATACCCAGAATGGGGGTGTGTTCTTTCTGTATGGATACGGCGGGACAGGAAAAATGTATATGTGGAGAACATTAGCTTCTTACATAAGATCAAGAAAACAAATATGCTTAACAGTTGCTTCTCCAGGTATTTCATCCCTTTTGGTCTCTGGTGGTCGAACGACACATTCTAAGTTTAAGATTCCAATTCTCACACTTGAATATTCTACATGTGATATAAACAAGGGAAGTGACAGAGGAGACCTACTAAAAGTATCAACATTGATAATTTGGGATGAGGTTCCAATGTGTCACAAATTTGTTTTGAAGCATTGGATAAAACCCTCAGAGAAATCATGGGTGGATCCAAATCATCAGATAAAATATTTGGTGGTAAGGTAATTGTGCTTGGTGGCGATTTCAGGCAAATTCTATCGATTATTCCAAGAGGCAGCTGTTCAGATATAATTCATGTAACAATCAATTCATCATATATATATATATATATATATATATATATATATATATATATATATATATATATATATATATATATATATATATATATATATATATATATATATATGTGTGTGTATGTATATATGGGATCATTGTAAGGTTTTGAAACTTACAAAGAACATGAGACTTCAGCAATCTGGACGACCATATCGGCTTCTGAGTTAGAGTAGTTTTCAAATTGGATAATAAAAGTTGGAGATGGAAAGTTAGCATAATCTAATAATGGTTATGTAGATATTGATGTTCCATCTGATCTATTGATTACAGATTTTGATGATCCCCTTCAAGCAATATTTCAAAACACTTATCCAAAATTTGAAGTTAATTACAATAATGTAGATTTTCTGCAGTCAAGGGAAATATTGTTGGAACCATTGCGACAATAGATCAAATAAATTAGTATGTACTAGAAAATCTCCCAGGTAATATTAAAGTCTGTGTCAAGAAATATTGTTATATATTTGTCATTTATAATTCTATACATAATAATAAAAATTGTTTTATTTACAGGGGAAGAAAAGGAATACTTAAGCTCTGATTCAGTTGATACACATGATGGTGACAACAATGAATCTTTTGATGTTTTAACTCCTGGATTCTTGAATGCACCGAGAACTTATGGTCTTCCTAATCATAAGATCAAATTGAAAATTGGTACTCCGATCATGCTTCTCGGGAATATTGATCAAGCAGATGGTTTATGCAATGGAACACATTTCATTGTTATAAGATTGGTTGATCATGTTATTGAATCAAAAATTATTTCATGCAAGAACATCGGCGGTATCATTTATATTGCAAGAATAGACATTACTCCTATGCAATCTCCATTTCCCTTCAGGATGACACGAATACAGTTTCCTATGACAGTCTGTTACGCAATGACTATTAACAAATCTCAAGCACAGTCGTTGGATCATGTCGGTATATATTTGTCGAGGAGTGTGTTCACCCATGGTCAGTTTTATATTGCAGTTTTGAGAGTAAAAAGAAGAAAAGACCTTAAAATCTTAATTCATGACAATGAGAAACAACCATTGGCAACCACAACAAATGTGATTTTCAAAGATGTGTTTGAAAATTTATAGTGTTTGTTACCGACATATTTTCTATTCTGATGTCGCTATTGGTACTCAATTATCCATGGTTAAATCACTTTGAAACCATTGATTACAATGTATACAATTTCTGATTTAACATTGATGATTATAATTATCTAATTGTATTCACCGGATTTTAACCGTTTTAAATTAATAGATTGAACAATCTATTATCTGATTACAAAATGGATGGAAACTTCACTTGACCTACTGTTAAATTATGGCAGAAAATACATATATACTGCAAAACAACAAAACAACAGATTAAAATTATGCATAATACATTTAATGCATTGAATATTTAATACGAACATTAGGTTGCATTGATACTACAAAAGTTATATTTACATTACTTGACTTAACATCATAGTACAGTTGTAGTTCAACAGACGAAGGTGTGATATATCTAATTGCTCCAACAATTCATAAACTGATACATTGCAAAATCAAGAAAATAATAATAAATTGAACATTAGCAAGTATATTAAGTTGATATTCTGCATAAATACACATACATAGACTATTACTGAAATTACAAAGTGCTTAAACAACATGAGGGATCATTATTCAGAACACATGGATAGTCACAAAACATCAATACAAAAAATAACTTGATTACTAACTGATATCCCTCTTATCAACAACATCAACAACGGTTCACTAACCACACATACATTAGATCTGAAAATGGTATCAAGGAAAACTCCAGCACATCTCCTTCCTGAAGCTTTTTTGTTTCACAAATTCGTACCATCCATGCCCAATATATTTCTCATAGTCATCCCTTCTGGTTCTCTTAATGACACAGTGATACCCTTCTGCATCAACCAGATCTACCATCTTTATTGTATTTTTCTTTTTACTAAAATATATCCTTGATATATACTGAAATGTGTTACACAACTTATGCATGAGATCAATTTGAAACATAAAGAAGTTAAAAATTACATGAAAACAATTGTTGCATGGATATACCAAGGCATTTTTTATGTGCATGTTTGCTTGGTTACAGTCGACCTCCATGAATTAGTTAAGTCGTATCATCAGTCGTTCTCTCTGCCTCAGTAAGAAACCCTTCTCTTATGAGTTTTTCGTAGACTTTATCTTGCTCCTCATTGAACTCTTTTTGAATCGCGCACACCCATTCCATCGAGTCTCTCTCTCAGGATCACTGGAACAATAGTAACAAAATAATAATGTATAATAAAAGTAGATTAAAGTTTATATGGAGCAAATATTTAAAATGTCTAAACAACACAATATTTTCCCGAATCTATCAGTGACATAATATGTTTGTAAGATGTTTTCTCCAATTGCATGCATAACTACATACCTGTTAGAAGTAGAAGGAACAAATGGTATCCAAACTTCACCATCTCCACAGTTCAATTGAGAATGAAATGGAGTCTGCACACTTAATACTCATCAGCATATATACATGTAGTTACACATTGATTTTGGGCCTACCAGTTTAGTTTTGGGCCTATAACAAAGTATGATGCAATATCCTAAATATGCCTATTTTAAATAATAACTACACATATAATTGTTATTAAATAAGATAAAGGTTAGAATTTCTCAATTTAAGGTCATGCATTGATCATTTTATTATAATTAATGTTCATTTTTTATAATAAATTAACACTTAAACAAAAATATTTGTAAGTTAGTCCTATTATCTTATTAAGAGAGTAAATATAACATAGTACTTTTTAATATATCAACATGTAACTTAATATCAACTATTGTAAGCACTTTATAACCACTTTAAATTGTTATGGGCCTGTATTTCATATTAATCTCATGATCTCCAAATATCATAAATAAATTATAACTATATAAATTACTGTTATTATATATTATAAATTATATAGTAATAGGAACCATTATATTTTTAAAAATTGAGTATTGGAACAAAGGGTAACCCAAATTTCATCATCTTCACAGTTAAATTGAGTTTTCTTTATTTGACTGCACTATTTATAAACTTGTCATATATAGATGTGGTTACACAAATGGATATTGGGTCTACCGCTAAGAAGTTACGGGTCTGTATTTAATATAATGTCATTATATCCATATATCAAAAAATAATATATAGTTTATGATAACTGTCATTTATGAAATATCATCATTCTTTTTCAAGGTTTTATGTTCCTTATATCTATTATAATATGAACTGTAATGTTAAAGGATTAATATGAACCATTTTATTTTAAGATATGAAGTAATCTTTGAAACAAAATACTGTGTTAAAGTAAATATGGATATCATACAACAAAAAATAAATATTTTTAATGTGACATATGAAATACATAATTTAGCATTAAACATGAGTTTTGAAACATATTAGAGGTTGCAATATCATCTATGTGCAACCATGTCTTCTTAAAATCATACAGCACAAAATAAAATCCAAAAGTGTTTTAACATAACTCATACACAACAGAACATCCCAAAATATAATTAAAAAGAACCAAACAAAATACAAAGACATGAATTCCACACATCTTAATAACTTCTTTTTACATCCCCCACTCCAACATTGTACCGTTCCATCATTTCTTCTGCAATGTGACATACATGTACGGAGAGAAAGGACTCATTTGACAGACCAATGTGTCTCTGTTTCTAAACCCTATGGTCTTCACAAAGTCATACCATCCTTCTATCATATACTTCTCATTTGGGCTTGATTCATTCATATGTTTTGCAATATTGATTCTACACTTGAAAGCTTCATGTAAGTCAATATATCTAATTGTTATCTCCTTTTGATTCATTCGCAAGCAATTTTTTGATATTTCCCTTGGAAAATGTTGCAACAATATAAATATGTTGCATTGAATTAGTTATGCAGAATAACAGAAATACATTGATTAAATTACCTGAATATTTTTGCTTTTCTTTTTTGACATTTTGTATTGCAAGATTCCAGCAATATGTTTTCCTCCCCTCTAATCATTTTATTTTAACATTGAATAGATTTTTTGCCATCTTCACATTTTTTAGTGGCCCTTTCTTATTACCATTTTTAACATTTTCTTTGTTGTCTGTCTTGCTCACAAATTTGTTGTTAGTTCTCTTCTTAGTGGCCTTTGATTTGTTGAGAACACTTTTGTCAACAATAATTGCAGACTTCTTCTTAATTCCTTTAATTTTTTCAGTTCCATTCCTAGAATCAACTCTAACATCAACATCTTCAACCTTAACACCCTTCATAACAAAGTTCATGTTGTTCAAAGTTGGGACATCTAAGTTGAGAGTTTTCAAACCTTCTGCGAACCTAACAAATTTCTTATCAAATGCATTACCTTTTTTGCCTTTGTTAGCAAATTTTTTTTACAGAACATTCTTCAACCTCATTAACAAGTCCCTCAATTACATCCATGGCGGCTTCCCCATTGAAATAAAATTGCTAAGTTCATTAGAACATGATGCATGCTACCACAAATAATAAACATCAACATCTTATTTGAATGATTTACATTTTTCGAACCATAATTTCAAAGTCCCCTGATAGAGTACAATCATAATATTAATCATCAAAATGATTCCACAATGATATTTATCAACTTACTCTATCAATGAACCCTAAGTTTCAACCAAATTTATAATATTTGAAGTCTCCATACCACTTTATTCCTAAAATTTCTCCTAAAATATAGTTTAAACAAATACAAATCACATGAATCACAAAGCATCATCATATGGGATATCAAAATACATAATACAATCATAATAATCTGAAAAAGCAACGGAAATCAGTTACTGACCTTAGAATTGATATGCTATCGTCTGAAATCCAACCATAACAGGATTTTCTTCTAGCACTCATAGCTCAGTTTTCCGCTGGTGTGGTTTCAGTTGATGTATGTTGGTGACGGCGTTAGGGTTACTAATTTCAGCAAAGCAAGAGAGTGAGAGATAGAAAACGGTGCATGTAATGACTTTGTTTTTGGATTTTCTTTTGGGATGTGCATGCGTTGCAAATCAATCAATATTCAATTTTCCAAGACACAAAGAGTAAATACGATTCTTTACCAATTCACTTGGTTAGATGAATAGTTTACCTAGGAAATATGTAATAAAACTTATTCAGAAGAACCGTGTTTTTTTATTGCATTTAAATTATTTTATATAGAGGATCAAATTTTTCCAAGCGCACACGTTATTTTTGTTCCTTTTGATATTTTGTCTTCCCTACACATTAGGTTGAAATAACAGAGCAGTAGTTTTTTTATTTTATTTATTTACATTTTATTTTTTTGTAAAGCAACTTTTCAGATTCAATTTTTTCAACTTTATATATATATCTCATTCATCTTCAAAGGTTAGAATCATTTCTTACTATAGTATGGACAATTTGTTTATATCCATTACAAAAAAAAATTAATCTGATTTTTGTAAAAACAATTGTTTTTTTTGTTTGTGTACTCCATACTTTTATACAATAGAGGTTGGTAATGGAAACAAAAGAGGGAATCGAGTTTCACTTGGACAATGAACATCATTCTAAAAGTGTTGAGTCAGATGTTCTGTTTCCTGAAATTAATTACAATTAACATTCTCTAAGAGATGTTCTCTGTTTCCTGAAATTAATTACAATTAACATTCTCTAAGAGATGTTCCAATACATATGGACAATGATGATAATGGAAGAGCTCAAAATCTCCGTCACAACACTTTGGGTTACAATGTGAAATTATTTTAAAAGAAAGAAATCACAAAATCTTATAAGGGAGGAAAAAATTGCATGGTGATATATCATTCCAAGTGTTTTCGCAAATTTTTACGAAATTAATGTTTTTTTTTACTTCATGTTTATTATTCAACAACTTAAAATACATTTATTTATTTATGTAGAATATTTCAGCTGACATTGTTAGTAAAGGTTTTTGTACCGATCAAACAACCTTGTCCTTGATGGACATTGATAACATGCAGTCCCAAGATGTTAAAATTCTTAAGAAAAAAAGACCACATACGGAAATGTATCTTGAAAATGGTTGATATGAATATACAAATATAAAAAACTTAAATGTTAGAAATTTCTTGGTTTTTCATTACACATCTGATTCTAAAACGCTTTACGTTAAATATGTGAGAAAAGATAGAGTAAAATATGTAATAAGTGATAATTTTGATTAAAGACCACTTTATCTCTATTATTTTTTTATGTGAGAAAAAATAGAGTAAAGTATGTAATAAGTGATAATTTGATTAAATGCCACTTTATCTCTATTATTTTTTTATGTTTGTTTTAAGATTAATTGTCTTATGTTTTTGTCAAATATGTGAGAAAAGATAGAGTAAAATATGTAATAAGTGATAATTTTGATTAAAGGCCACTTTATCTCTACTATTTTTTTATGTTTGTTTTAAGATTAATTGTCTTATGCTTTTGTCAATAGTTTTTATTGTACAAGGTCAACATCAATGTTTTAGTTTCAATCCTCATATAATTTAATTTTAATTATTATCTAAATTACATATTATATTTTCCATATCACATATTACATTGCACGACATGTAAGAACGCACGGATCTTTTACTAATTCTCTTAATATATTTTATTTTAACTTAGTGTACTTTAATATTTTGTTTGCATCTTATCATTGTAAGCTTATATTATTTTGGTTTAGTTTTATCTTAGTGTACTTTCTCCACGTATCATAACTCCTAAAAAGTAATCGGTACCTCTCTTTTCAATCGTCGTTTTCATCTTCACACACCATCACATTCGTTCTAAACATTTCTAACATTTTAGTGTGTTTACTCTGTCTTTGTTTCTTCGTTTCCTATGCCACTCCCATCTACTCGATGAACTTTCATTCGTCTCCTCTAAATCAGCCATGCAAAACATCTCTTCTGATAATAATAAATTTTGTTTCCATCTGAATCCAAATAAATACAAAGAAAAGCTAAGTTCCAAACCCATGGACTAACTTAACAAATGAAAAAGATTGCTCGATGTAGAACCGAGCAATGCTTATTACACGCTTCTGATAATGTAATTTAAGATTTCTGAAGAGATGTGAGTGGAAATGTGGACAAAGCAGATCCAATATACCCTACATGGCTATCATTAATAACAAACAGATGAAACCAATATATAAGTCATGTGCATAACTTCCAACTGAACATACATACCAGCAATTTTGATAGATAACTCATAAGGTCACACACAGTTCCCATGTTGTGGGAATTAGTTAAACCTCGCCATTCACCAACTATGTGCAACACATGGATTAGCAAGGATACACAACGCAAATGTAAATATGTATGTACTACTACTAGAGCAGCTCCTGTTTATTCATACACCAGTGGAGCAATAAATGACACCCGATCAAACTAGAAAGAATTTGCAAGACCAAGAAGGAGAAATTTAGTGTAATCACCAGGTGTTTGAGGATTTTGATCCTGCAGGACATGTGTTGGTAGAAACTAGTGACCTGGAAAAAAAACAGCAAAAATAATTTCACCACAAGCATAACATAAATCAATACTCGTTGGTATAACTTCTTAAAATTAGAACACATATCAAAAGATGTAATATGCAGAATTTGTTGAAGATAACTGTCGGCTATAAAAAAACCACCCTCCAATCACTATTATAAGCAAATTCTTTTTTCAGGTTCATTGAATAACTAACTGTTTGATTGATATTTAGACCGCGTGACTTGTGGAATGATATGCTCTCCAACTTTCACCTATATGTTAGAAATGCTTCTCCTTCTGAATCATTTAACCAATGAACCTGAAAAAAGAATATTTGCTTGTAATAGTGAAGTGAGGGTGTATATGCCAATCAGAAGTCAAACCCAATTCACTATGAAAATTTCCCCTAAAGTTGTTTCATCATTTCCATCCTAGTCACAATCACAATTACAGAAGCCTTGAACTAGCTAGTAGCCATCCTTGTCAAGTAGTGTTCACTAAAATGTTTTGAAAGGGTGATCAATATTGCAATTTCAATTTTGAACCCACCCTATTAAAAGCAGAACGAACATATTGAAATTTGAAAGCAACACATTGAAAAGTTATGAGTCATGGTAATTCCTCAATACCAAGTCCTTATCCTACAAAATCATAACAAAACAGGTCTGTTCTAATGAAATAAGCAACTCACTATGTTTTTCAATTGCCACAGGAACAGGATCAGTTGCTTAATGTACAAAACTAGAGGTAGTAACCTATGATCTCTAACAAGTAACAAGCAGAAAGGTTTATAGCACCAATTGACCTATTCCATTTTGTACATTTATTTAACTAATTCAACATAAACGGATAATCACAAGGCAACAGAAGAAAAGATTTGAATACCTGATGAGGCACAATAATCACAAGGCAACAGAAGAACAATGAACAATGGAGGATCCTTTTGGAACAGAGAGAACTTTATTCAACCAACAAACTTCACCCCACAACTCCCCATCTTTGTTCTTGTTCACATCAATCTCAGCGCACCAAACCTCCATTTCTTTCCCCTTTCCATTCCCTTGGCACTCCCAAACCACAACCAATTTTCCACCAACATCAGCCATTGTTGCCCCACAAAGAAACTTCGGCAAACCCTTATCCAAACCCTTCAATTCCTTCCACAACCCTTTTTTCACATCGAACCCTTTGATTTTCCCCAAGTAATTGTAGCAATACAGAATCCCATTCACAACACACGCTCTCCCACGCCACCCTAGGTCAAGCTCACTCCCCACACTCTCCCACGCGCCGCTACGAGTATCAAGCGAAACACCACCGCGGTCAGCCATGGCGTAAATCTTACCGTCCACAATGGCGCTGGCGTGCATCCACTTCTCGCGAATCTCCGGCGGGCTGGGAATGCCTTCCCACCTGTTGGTAACAGGATCGAATACCTCCGCCCAATTAGCTGACCTAGACCAATTATCAGGAACACAACCGCCGATGACGTAAATCTTGCCGTCGACGACACCAGCAGCGGCGAACTCACGTGAGACGCGCATGGAAGGACCGGAAAGCCAGCGGTGGAAGCGGCAATCGAGGATCCATACATGACGGGAGGGGATATCGTTGATTGAACCGCCGATTACATAAATTGCATGTCCGATGACTGCGTAGGCAGATCCGATTGCGGGGGAAGGGAGAGGGGGAAGAGGAATGAGGTGACTGTTGTTGTGGAGCGTGAACCATTGGAGAGTGGAGGCGCGTGTACGAAGAGAGAGGTAGAGGATGTGTTGGGTGGAGTGAAGGAGAGAGCGAGCGGTGAAGAAGAGTGGAGAAGAGAGGAGGGAACGGAATGATTTGGAAACTAGGGAGAGGGTTGTGTGTTGAGAGCGTGGGAGACGTACGAGGCAGTTCACGGCGACATCGTCCGGTAGAAACGGAATCAGGTTCAAGTTCAGGTTCTTCATACCTATCTTCTACCTCCTCTTTGCATTCTACCTCTGAGATGCATAACTACATCTTTTTCTTGTTGATTTGCATAGCTAATCTGCTATAATACAGTTTTTCGGATGAAAACCAACAAGTTGAGATGGCCGAGTTGGTCTAAGGCGCCAGATTAAGGTTCTGGTCCGAAAGGGCGTGGGTTCAAATCCCACTCTCAACAATCATTTTTTACCTTTTTCTTTTTATCCTCTTAATCACATCTCTACAAACACAACTATTTATTCATACATTTATTTGGGAATATTGATCCTCATAGAAGTCATATTACAAAATTCTGGACATCAGAATTGCTTTTTCAAGTCAGGATCACCAAGGCTTACAAAAGCATTCAACTTTATTAAAATTCTTGAACAACACTAGGCTTAACATTTTCCACTTAAGCTGTCTGTTGCATGGAAAGCTCTTCTTTATACACTAAAAAAGGGATTTCATATCTCAAAGCCGGCCATACAATGAAAGCATCTCTTTTAATCTGGTTGCCTCTCTGTCTAACCTGTCAAAATTCACAGAATTTGGAACCCTCCATCCCCAGTTTCCAAACTGCATCGGCCATAAGATTAACAATGATTTTTTTAGTTACGCTTAAGTAAGCTGTTGTTGCTAGAACAAACTATGAAAACTATGCCTGGACTTTTACCTGAGTTGCAGGAATATTCATCCTGGCAGAATTCCCGAGTCCAAGAACATCTTGCATAGGTATTATTGCTGTTTGAGCAACAGAAGCCACCGCTGTCTGGATTAGTGCCCAAGGAATATCATCTTGCTCGGTTATTGAAATATAACTTAATACCTGAAATATGAAAATAAAGGAGGTGATGTACTCATCCTACTTGATTAAGCAATAACACTTCACTACCATATATCGGCTATGCCACCCACATGTGATTTCTCTTTTTGGTTTAAAGCTTCCCACCAACCCTTAATCTGTAGCAGAAACACATTTCTTGTCAAGATTTGTTATCGTTAACAGGAGAAATTATTCAAGACAGTGATAAAAGTATGGAAATAAAACAAAAAGAATATTATAAGCTAACATGTTGGTAGCACACATCTACAGAGCTTGCCCAGGTCCTTTCTAAGAAGATATATGAAACATCAGCAAATGCAAAGCAGAATAAATTCTTACCGTGTCATTGTCATGAGTCCCTGTATAGACAACTTGATTGCACTCGTGATTATGAGGCAAATGAGGGTTATCAGGACCACCTCCAAACGCTGGACAGAGTAACAATGATAATAAGAAAATGTTTAGCCTCTCATAATTGAGATCACCTTAGAGTATGATAGTTTGGATGGTAAACAAAATTAGGAATTAATCATTACCAAACTGGAGGACGGCCATTCCAGGGGCTCCAATGGACTTCCTTAGTTGCACTACATCTTCAGTGATAACTCCCTGCCATAGATTTAAAAAACCCAAAAAAATTAAGCGGTGTCCCGGCACAGCAAGAGTTATTTATGAATTAAAACTAGCAAGGCCCTCACGAGACTGATGAAACAATATGGTAAAACTTATAGCTTGTTTCGATAATATGTACCAAGTCTTCTGCTGTGATATTAATCTTTCCAACAGCTTTGGAAATGGCATCAAAGAAGGATGTTCCAGGTCCTACCTATGAATCATTTAAATATGAAGCTTTTAATAGTTTGACCAAATAGATCAAAGATAGAACAAAATGACAGGACCTGACCTTCCACTTTCCAACCATAGCTATTTTTGCTTCTGCATATTCATACAAATTACACATGTTACACAAACATCACATCAAGCAAAAAAGGTGAAATAAACTCAGTATAGACTCACCAGAGGGAACAGCCCAATATCCAGCAAGTCCTCTAAAGTGATCAATTCTAAATTCATCATATATATCTTGTGCACGTCGTATGCGACGTATCCACCATGAGTACCCCTCTTTCTCCATGGCTTTCCAATCATACAGGGGGCTTTTTTCATTTAAACGTGAAAACGTTACAAACAAGAAATCAGTAATCTGAACAAGAGAGGAGCCTTCTACAATGTATAAATACTGAAAACCCAAGGGAAAATGCTGAAAGAGGCTTATAGAATCAAACCAAGCAAGATATTAAAGCACAGAAAAATGAAAGGAACTAAAAGGACATATCAGGTGACAGAAGAGACTCGTTCTGATCATGATTACATAATGAGCAGATAGATACTCTTAAGGAAAAAAAATCATTTTATGTTGAGATCAGGACAAGAATTGAAAAAAGAACATGGAAAATTAAGATTATGGCTAAACATTTATCATGGGATTAGCTTCGAACCTTCCCCACAGCTGACCAGTTTCGCTGAATGCATCAGGAGGCACACCACTGACTAAAAGAGGAAATCCTTTCTTGTTCTGCCAGATAAATAAGTGGAGATGATTTACTGTCAAAAGTTACAAAATACTCCAAAAATGGTTGGTTTAGACTTCATATTTCAGAGACACATTCATTGAAGACAACTAACCAGTGCAAACTGGTTCTTATTTGCCCAAACATCTGCACTGTGATACCCAACATAAATGGGCATGTCTCCCATTATTCTGACTCCCTTACTCTGTGCGTAGTTGCGAACTTTCTGCCATTGTCTTTGGAACAAGAACTGTTGAGCAATAAATATATTTATCTGCACGCAAGAGTATAAACGACATCAAGAACACTTCTGTCAATAAGCAGGGCATACAAAGAGAAATTATTAATGATAATTATAGCAAGAAAGATTCTTTATGATCTTACAAAATCTCTCTTTTGTTGATAAATATCTTCTAGAGCTACAAGGTGGCGGTTTTTTAAAGGTTCGGGCCAATCGTACCAGCTGAGTGTGTTCAAACTGTCATCAATAGCAGCAAAATAAGCTGCATCTTCAAGCCAACCTACAACATTAAAAGATATTACTGCCTTGCAAAATAAAATTCCCAAATGAGTCACTTAAACAAACCTCATTTGGAAACAAAGAATGTAGGTCATGTTCAAGAGTAAAGAAATCCTACCCATTTCTCAAAATAAATGGAAAGTTCCATTACTATGGATGTATAACTTAATTGTGTCACAATTCACAAGTTCTAGAAATGTGTTCTTTGTACACCCTAAATTAGAGTAATGAAGACCTCCATTCTTTTTGAAGAATGAAGAGGATCCCTACCCGATAGAGGCATCCTCATATGAAAGAAATGCCAAGCAAATTCTCTATGTTAAAGTCTTCTATTTTACAATCACAAATCCTAATGATTCTTTCCTTCAAACTTCTGCATCGCATAATCCTAGAACCCTTATATTATCTGTGTTGCAAGCATCAGTAAGAAATTCTCACACGTTTTCAACTATTAGCTTGTTTCTAGCTTGAATTGATTGCCTTGGCTCGATCATATATCAGAAATGAAGGAGAGTTTCTAAATGTAATTGCACTGTGTTTAATTGAATTTTCCCTTCAGAGTAAGTGTCTATAACTTGGTATTGTCCAGTTGAATAATTTTAGATAAATGGAAAATTAATTGAGAGAAATGTAACAAAACATGATCAAGGATGCTTTTCAAATCAACTATGCAGTGCATTCACATGTAACATAAATCAACTTTTTTTATAAGTTGCTCTCACTAAAGTGAAACGTTGAAGCTAACATGAAACACAGGTATAGAATTAAAATAGCAACTAGATGAGTGCCTCACTTGATATGTTAGGATCCCTGCGAAAATTTTCAAGCTGTGTTTTGAGTTCCCCTTTGCTTGAAATAAGCCTCTTTGCCGCCTGAGGAAAATTAACATAAAATACCATATGCACACAAGGCATTGAGAAGTCTAACGATGTAAAGAAAATAAGGTAATGCTAGTATGAATGTATGATAAAAGGAAGAATCTGATAAGACCGCAAAGAAACTCCTAGGGTCAGGCTAACCATAGAGCACTTGCAGTCTATTGCAATTCACCATTATGAAACTAGACTTTTCCAAGAAAATAAAATCGTATCTGTAGATTATAACTCAAGCAAAAACTACATGCATGTTCCTTGACAAAATTACAGTGATGAAACTAGCGTGGCCAATGAAATGACTATAAAACTGATAAAATGTTCCCTGACTACTCATGAAATAGATCCGACAAACCTCTACAAAATGGAAATTTATTTATAAAGCATAATCATATCATAAGATTACTAAGGGATAAAAAAAATTCAATTGAGTGCAGGATTCAGCCAATTTTAACCCCTTACTACATTTTGAATGAGGCACACAACAACACTAGCAATAACCATACTTCTAACATCTTACTTTAGTTATCAAAGGATCCTTAAGTTTAGCAACAACCGAAAAATTCACACGCTCGGCATCACTGCATTCATTTAATAAAAACTATAAGATGAACACCAAAAGGGAAATAGTTGGAAACTAAATCGTTTATACATAATAAAACTCTGACATTGGTTCAGGAAGGTCGTGTTTGTCCAACAATCCATCCTCAACAAGCTCTTCAAGAGAAATCAGAAGTGTGTTACCACAATTCGCATCCTGAAAACGCAAAATTAGAAACTACATTGCGTGAAAGAGATGATGATATTAAACAACTCTAGAACAAAATAAAAAACCTGGCCGGAGTAAGGTGATCCTTCTTCGTTAGCCTTTCTTCCGGGCGGCACGAGAGGAAGAACCTGCCAAACAGAGCAACCGGTTCGGTGAAGCCAGTCAATGAAACGAACTGCCTCAATTCCAAGATCGCCGATTCCGTAGGGGCTTTTAAACGACGTCGGATGGAGGAGAATACCGGCTCTTCTACGGAGGTGAAGTTCGGGTTTGGGAAGCCAGTCTCCGTAATTTGGCGGTAAATCTTCGTCGACGCTGAGATGCGATAAGGAGGTGGTAGACATAGAGGAAGAAGCACGAGTGATAGAAAGTGGTGAATTGGGTTTGAATTTGAGAATGGGCGATGAGTTCCAGCGGTGTGATTGTGAGAAACGCGGTGTTGTA